GTTACTAACGCCGAACATGCTGTGATTTCATCAATTATATATATATATATATTTATATATGGTGAGAATTTTCGCCCTGCTTTTGCAGATACGGTTGGTCTGTAGGAAGATATAAAGTAAAAAGTACACCCTCTCTCACCACGACCAAAGGTGCATTGCGATGAACACCTAATTGTTTTTCAATTGCCATTTAATTGCGATTCAATCAGTAAAATGTTCAAGAGAGAATTTGCTATAATAAAAAATAATAAGTCAACAAGTACATAAAAGTAGAAACTTTTTTAATTTCATTAAAATTAATCCAATCGATACATTATTTATTTATTTATAACAATTCTCTCTTCAATAGTTTTCGTAGGCATGGATAACAAAACATACAGTGCATGTAATAACACGTAAAACAACGCATCATACACATTGCATCGCAAGTGATAGGCGGGGATTTTCGGAAGGCGAATCCAGTCACTGCAATAGCAGTCCCAGGCACTTTACCCCGTCACATCATGCCACCGCCCAAATACGTCGCCAGATAGATTCAAAAAAAAGTCAATGAACGGACGAGCTAGCACATACACTAAAAGTTTGATCCTTGATTACCGGCTTGATTTAAATTTCATCTAATCCTCCTAGAAGACACTCCAGGCACTCAAAAGTTTCTACCTTGAAATTGGTTTTTGTGCAGTTTTTTAAATACATTTTACACATTGTAGCTAATCTAAGCATTTTGCATTAATATCCTTGTAAAATTAAAGTGAGGCCTAGACATTATGAGCAAGTACATTTTGGCAGGCAATTAAAAAAATTTTAAATCAAACTAAATGCAAAAAAATTATTCTTTTTATACAGAATAGATGAATAAAAACAGAGTCACGTGATGATGTAAATTTTATTAAAATTTTCAAATTTTTGCTAATGTGTGTGCGTGAAAGATTGCATCAAGAAGATGTTTGATTTCCAGCCAGCGAGTTGGTTACGAAAACTTGAAATTCATCTTCAGATAGAGTTAACATTTTATGAGTTTCCGTTAAAACCTTCATTGAAATCATGTTACCAGTATAAAATTTGATTTCGTCACTGAATTAAAAATTAAAGCAGTCTATTTCAATCAATATATAAGTAGGGAAGACCGGGGTACATTGAACCAATTTTCATAATTTAACTTGATGACATATATTAATGCATTAAAACTTTTTGATGTAGGTTATTATTATGTAAAATTATGTCCTTTACGCATAGCAAAAATTCTATCGACTTCTAACAAGTATCTATGACATTAAAAAGATTTATTAGTAAGCTTGTCGTGTTAGCGGGGTAAGTTGAACCAAACGCCGGGGTACGTTGAACCAATATTGTTTAACACATTTTTAATCAGTTTTATTGTGTTCAGTGATGTCAGAGGCAGGTTGAACCATGGTTCAACGTACCCCCGACAACATGGTTCAATATGCCCAAATCATAGTGGTTTTAGTATTTCAACTGTAGCCTCATTAACATGCTACAAAGGCGTGTAAAAAACCACGTTCTGTTTTACCAGATAAAAACACTACAAAATATATATGGTAAAATTATTTACATTTATTGCAATTGTATTTTAAATAACCTCAATTTCTCAAAATTACTCGAAAGGGGCAAAATCACATACGTGACATTTACTCGAAAATTTGCAGACATGAACACGCGAAATTAACTCAGCTAGTTCGATTTGCATTAATAATTAGAAATATGGAACGCCTACCGATAGTTTTCTATAAATAAGCAAATTTACCTTCTTGGTTTAACATGCCCCGTGGTTCAACATGCCCCGGTCTACCCTACTTCGTTGTACAAATAACAAGATGATATTAAGTAAAAAAAATAGCTACATTTTTAAGATTTAATAAAGTTCATTTGCTTAAGAAAACAAATTACCTAAAAATACTGTGGCGGATCTGACAACTTTGACGGGAGAGGGCCAAAAATTTGAAAATGTTTAAATTTTCACGGAAGGCCAAGATTTGTGGTAGTGTGGCTGACGATGTTTTTTGGCTTATCACGTTCAATTTTTGGTCGATTTTTCATATAAAATGGTTCTTTTTCTGACTTATATTAAAAAACTGCCCACAACAAGAGGACCAGTACTCCTTCGGCCCCCCACCTTAGATCTACCACTTAAACATACCACATAAAATGTTGATGCAAATATTAATCGATAAAGAGTTCTGTCACCAGTGTTTTTTACAAACGAACTCACCAAAACATTTTTGTAGAGGTTGACAAGTTTCAATTGTTTCCTGAACGCTTCAGCAACAAAATCTCTTTGTTTTTCAACTATTTTACACCTTCTCTCAATTTCTTCAACGGTTTTATTGGCCAAATTTTTGATTTCCTATTTCAAGAAAAATTAAAACGCAATATATATATATACATATATATATATATATATATATTATTATTATTATGTTTTATTATTATTGAAACATTTATGAAGCGCTAATTAAACGAATCTCAAAAGCGCTATCTAACAAAAAGTGAACTTAGCAACATAATTGAGATAACAAACGAGAAATCATAATGCATCGTACAGAAATAAGATTAAAATTTGGTCATAAACAGAAAAAGTAATCGATTCAATATAACGAAAATACGAAATAATATTTAGAACATGTCGACTAAACAGAAAGAATTGATCAATAATGCATTACAATGAAAATAAATGAGTTTTCAGTTTCTTCTTGAAATCACGCAGGTTTAGGTCCGGATTTCTGAGAGCAGTAGGCAGGTTGTTCCAAACAGTTGGTCCAGAAACAGCAATATTACGAGAGCCTATACGGAGACTCGTTGTTGGGATCAACAGCAGATTTGAAACATCGGATCTCAAGTGTGCTCCAGATGCTTTTAAAGATCTCATCTTGAACCTGTCAGACAAATAAGATGGAGCTAGACCGTTGATAGACTTGTAGACAAGTGTTGAAATTTTGAACAACACTCTTTTGTCGACGGTTAGCCAATGAAGTTTCTTCAATATTGGAGACACATGGTCGTATTTTAGAGCTCCAACAACAACTTTTGCGGCTCGATTCTGTATTGACTGCAGTTGAGCCATGGATCGATCAGGTAAGTCATAAAACAAACTGTTGCAATAGTCGACGCGTGAGTCTGTAACGTGGACGCATCTAGGGATCGTCGAATTTGATTGATTTTCCTGATTTGAAACATGCATTCGGCTGAGAACTTCTTAATGTGTTGTTTCATTGACAAACCTGAATCAATTATGAAGCCCAGATTAGCTGCTGTCTGACAAAATGGGATGACCTCATCATTAACAGTTATTGAATCTGTCTATTCTTGAGAGTTGCTGCCATGTTCCAATTGGTAAAAAAACAGTCTTGTTTTGGTTTAGTTTTAAACCATTGTTTTGCATCCACTTTATCCAATTCTGATTTAAAAGAATCTGGTCTGCTCGTAACAATAATTTGTAAGTCGTCCGCAAAAGCATGACCTGAAAAACCAAATGATTCTATTATCTTTAGTACTTCAGATGTATAGATCAGGAATAAAATAAGACCTAGAACTGAACCTTGTGGCACACCAGACAACATAACATTAACCTCAGACAATTTACCACCGAATGATACCTGTTGTGATCTACCTACTAGATACGACTCAAACCACCTCAGAACAGCACCAGAGATTCCAAAACTGCAACGTAGTCTTGTTAAAAGTACTTTGTGATCTACGCAATCAAATGCAGATGACAAATCAAGAAAGACTAGCCTTGCCAAATTTTGTTCATCAATTGCCCCGTGCACTTCTGAAAAAACATGCAAAAGGGCAGTTTCAGTCGAATGGTACTGACGAAATCCAGATTGAAATTTCGGCATTAAATTGTTATTCTTCAAGTAACTGAGTGTTTGCCTGGCAACCAAACGTTCGATAATTTTGGATAGGAAAGACAGATTAGAAATTAGTCTGTAATTCTCAACATCATTTTAATCCAGATTATGTTTTTCAGCAGCAGAGTTATGATAGCATGCTTGCAGCCGGAGAGAAACTGTCCCACATTCAAACTGCTGTTTATCAGGCCTGCCAAAAATGGTGCGAATAGTTTTATAAACTTCTTTAATACGTGGATAGGTATTACATCTTGTTGACACGACTTTGCAGGTGAATTTCGAACTAACTGTATTACCTCCTCTTCAGAAACCATAGAAAACGTTAAGAACAGATTATTATTGACACCTGATTGGAATTCTGAACCTTCTTTCCATTTTTCTGCATAAACGCTTGGCTAACCCGCAATCATTATCAAACCACGGAGCCATACGAATGTTATTGGCAGTCACTGCACAAATAGGTACAACTTTATCAGCAATAGATTTTAACTCGTTATTAAATAAATGTAATTCCTTGTTTACCTCATTGCTTTGACATGATTTGGAGACTGGAGATTCAAGCACTAGTTTGATGAAGTCATCAACATTCATCTGATTCCACATTTTAGAAACTTTTTTAATTCCAACCAAATATCCTCGAGTCATCGACAGTTCAGTCCAAATAAAACTATGATCAGAATAAATTCCACTTGGATGGACTAAATAATATTAATAATAATAAATAAATAATATATAATAATAAATAACGAAAAAATATTATCAAATAAATAATAAATAAATAATATATAATAATAAATAACGAAAAAATATTATCAATCCACCATGGATCTCTCACACAATCTACAAAGCGGTAACCAGGAGGAGTGGACAACGCAATGTAGGGATTTTCTGATGAACCATGCCATTTCAGTAACAACAAAAATATCCAAACCATCACTGATCAAATCATAAATGGTGTTGTACTTTGAGCCAATCGATCTTATATTTAGTAAACCCAATTTTATTTTAACCACACAAAAATTATTATTAGTCCGATCATTTTCAATTCCAGCAGTATTTCTACCAACAGCACCACCTTTCATTACATTATTATTACCTACCTTTTTACGATCATTAAAGCCAACAGCACCACCTTTTATTACATTGTTACTACCTAACTTTTTACGATCATTAAAGCCACCACTTGCATAACGATCATTACCATTTAAATCATTGCCAGTGCCTTTCATCATTAAACATTTATTACCGTCGAGAGAAGAATCCAAATAATCGTTACCAACAACCCCGAGCGCGTCAGGCTGCGATCACTAAAATCTTCACCACCAACAACATTACAATTATTATTCCAATTAAAACTAACATCTTTCATGATAAAACTGCCACCACCATCTTTACCACCAACTCCATCACTTCCACTAATATGACCATAATTTTTAAAATCATTAACATTACAATTTGATATCGAATATTTTTTAGTATCACCACCACGGCCATTATCATACCCACAAGCATTACCAATAAAACCACCACCACCAGTGCCATCATCACCACCGACATCATTAGCATCCGTCAGTTGAACACCTAGGTCTGTCTCTGAGTTACCGGAAATTTCACCACCCTCCATTTGCCAACCTGGCCTCTTACACGGTATAAAAAAACCCTTATCAGAAGCCTCCAATGCCCTTGCCTCCTCTATCTTTGACCTCAGTTTTTTTCTCTGCTCTGGGGAAAGATTGTGATTGAGTCCAATGCGACCTAGGCTGACATCAAGCGATTGTAATTTAGAGACATTTTTAATTATCATGTTTTTTATGTCAACACTATCCATTTTCAACAACAGCGGTCGGGTATGATCGTCTGATTTTTTTCGAGTCTAGTTAGATGGACTAGGTTAGCATCAACAACATTATTAGACAGGTGTTTCAGAATCTTCATGACGCCCACCCGGTCACCGTCGCTCTCAGGCAAATGAAACATAATTAGATTATTTTCTCTTTCTTTGATTTGTTTAGCATCATTTATTGTCGTCTGGACTGTTTTGACTTCGGCCTTGATATCATCAGCGTGCCCTTTAATCCCGCAACTGACGATATCTGCAAAAGATACTTTTATATCATTCTTCAAAATGTTCAATTCACCACGAAAAACATCAGTGCTCTCAAGCTGGTTTAACTTTTCTTTATTACTTTCTAATGCTGCGTTGATATTCTCGAGCTCTGGCTTTATATTTCGTTCAATGTGTTGAGTTTGTTGAAAACATCTTTTCTGAGAGAATCGACAGAGCTGGTCAACTTTTTAATGTTAGGTCCCAGACTTGAGCATCTATCACAGAACCATCTGAGGTTGGTACTGGAATCCAAAAGGTTGCAAACTTCTTCAGATATTGAAACACAGTTCGCATGCGCAAAGTACTCATACTGAGAACATTTAACAGCCTTCCCCTGACCTTTTGCCTCTGAACATTGCAAACATTTATTTTTGTTCATTTTCACTAAAAAACAGTTTAACTTTCAATTTATGGTATTGAACGTTAAAATATAAGTTAATGTTCGTACACAACACTCCTTATGCGTTGACAACAAATTATATTCAACTTTTTTAAAAAAAAGCTATATAGTAAAACAAGTTAATTCTAAATTAAATTATTTAATCAAATTGTTAACTAATTCAAAAAATACGGTGATACTCCTCTTAATTTATGCTTTAAAAGGGATCCAAAATTAACAATATAACCTCGATATAAATATCAAAAAAATTACAAAAACGCCATATATATATATATATATATATATATATATATATATATATATATATATATATTTCGATCCTGAGTGATTTGCATTGGTTGCCCATAAATAAAAGAATTGTTTTTAAAATCTCTGTCACAGTTTTCAAATCACTAAATGGTCTGGCTCCAAAATATTTATCAGATAAACTGAAATTAAAAACGTCAATCGCATCTGGTGTGCGTCTGAGGTCTGACGATTCGAACATTCTTGTGGTTCCTCATAGACAGCTAAAGATTGGATCGCGTGATTTTGCTGTGTCAGGCCCTGTCGTATGGAACGGCTTGCCGTCAGCCCTCAGAATGCCTGGAATGAACATTGCTGAATTTAAAAGACAATTAAAGACATACCTTTTTTCATTATAGTTCATCTCTTTTCATTCTTGCTATTTTGTTGTTAATATTAGTTATAATTTGATAGCGTTTGTGAAAACTGCTATAACGAACGCTATATTAAGTTTTCTATTAATAATATATATATATATATATATATATATATATATATATATATATATATATGCTATATATATGCTGGTAAAAGACCATAATTAATGCGGTCATTTATGAAATCTTGATATTTACTAGTTATTTCTGTTCATGTGTGTATTCTCTTAGAGAAACATACTGAAACAGGATCAGTTTCTTCATGGAGAAAGAATTAAAATCAAGTTTGTAAGGTTTCACCACTTATGCTCCGAAGCATTGAAATTGCTGTACGTAGGTCACCGACAAAATCTAACAGAATGCTTCAATAGCAATTGAGGCACAGTGGTTTAGATGTTGGAACAAGTACCATCAGAAGATACCTAAAAAAGATTGGACTTGTTTCAAGGGTTGCACCACCTTACACATCGACATAGGAAACTGCGACAAAGCTTTACAAAGAAGTACGTAAGCAAAGGCGAAGAATGTTGGCAAAAAGTTCTCTTTACCGGTGAAACTCGCATCTCAATTTGTAATGATGCAAATGAAGTCCGCTTTTGCAGAAAAACTGGAAAGAAATTGAGCATATTTACCTCAACTGTGAACCATCCTGCATCAGTTATGCCGAATCAGGTTTCTTTAAAAGGAAGAGGTATGCAACAGTGCATGGTATCTTAAAGTTTTAAACCAGCAGGTAAAATGGTCTACAAAAAATTCTTTCCAGGAACTGATTTCTGGCTGCAAGATGATGGTGCCTCTTGCCATAGGTCGAAATTTGTGAAAGACTTTGTCATAGACAATGGATGGAAAACTTTAAATTGGCCTCCTCAATCTGTATATATATATATATATATATATATATATATATATATATATATATATATATATATATATATATATATAATTGAATGAACAGTTTGCTATGTATGATAATAAAGACAAACATTTTAACCTACATTTAATTGACCCTGATTTAAATTGCTTCAACTCAATAGTCAACCAATCTCCTCTGCTTCTTCCTGAAAAGATTAATGAGTACATCGATTTTCTTAACTGTTTTTCAATTCTACACATCAATAGTAGAAGTTTATATAACAGATGTCTGAACTAGCCACCCTTGTCAATGTATGTAACGATCGTTTTTTATTAATATGCATTTTCTGAAACCTAGCTCAATGATTCTAATGATAAATTAATGAATTTGCCTTGCTTTAACTTTGTTTCAAAAAATCGTATTTTTAATATTGGTGGTGGTGCTGAAATATTTATACCCAGTTTCTTAAAATATGCTGTTTGTGACAATCTTTCGTTTAACAAACCTTCTTTTGGATTACTTATTATCGAATTATTGAATATTGACGGTGAAATTATTTGATATATGTTGTTTATCATCATCCTGATACTAATTTAATTGCTTTTATAAATGACTTAAATTCTTTATTATTAATAATCTATAAATCAAGTAAATAGGTATATTTCCTAGGCGATTTCAACCTCAATTTGATTAATTATGGTAATAACAATGGTGTTGAATTTATTAATTTAATGTATTCTTTTATCCTCTAATTAGTAATCATACTTGCGTCACTGTCTCTACGTCAACATTACCAACAATCTCACTCCTCATAAATCTGGTGTCATCAATACTACTCTCTCTGATCATTTTCCTATTTTCACTTCTTTTAATCTTAATAATTCTTTATTAACCTCAAATGTTTTTATTCTGTCCTTCAATCTGTGTAATAGAAATATTGTTAATTTAAATTTGTTTCTCATAAATTTTAATTGGAGTCTTGTATTTGAATGTTTTGAACACAGATGAGGCATTTTCATTTTTTACTGATGTGTTCAAAAGTGCCATCGTAAATTGTTGTTATTCTACCAAAATATCCTCAAAAGGAAAAAACAACCTTGGATTACAAAAGGCTTAATAATATCATCCAAAACTAAGAATGATTTGTATAAAAAGTTCTTAAAATCTAAGTTAATGTCTGATCGTTTAAATTTAATATTAAATATTTAATATTAAATTTAATATTAAATTTAAGAATTTATTTTTAAAGCTTTGTAAGATCTCTGAAAACATGCATTATCAGCATTTGTTTAATAAAGAAAAGGAAAATGTTAAACATGGAATATTCTTAAATCATGTAAGGGTCTTAGACGCATGACATCATATTTTGCAATTAAGATGAACAATGAATTGATTACTGATGATTCGTGAATATGTAATTTTTTTAATAAAAAATTTTCTTCTTCTAATGTTCCATTTGCAGATGACAATAATAGCTCTTAATTTAAAAATTTTTCCTAAACGTTTAAAAACTTCAAAAGTTATACCTTTGTTTAAATCTGGTGACCCTCATGATCTTAATAACTGTCGTACAATTTCTATTGTCTCTAGTCTATCTAAACTCATCGAAAAAAATTTCTTAAGACTTACTAATTTTTTAAATTCTGATAATTTGTTGATTTCAAATCAATACGGTTTTCGCTCAAAACTCTGTACTGAATTTGCTGTAGCTGACATAGTTAATTTTGTTTCTAACGCTCTTGAATCTAAAGCATCTTCTATTGGAGTCTTTCTTGACCTTTATAAAGCATTTGATTCTCTTGACCACTTAATTTTATTGTAAAAATTATCTCAATATGGTGTTAGGGGTATTGCTCTAAATTGGTTTATTTCTCATTTGAATAAAAGGTTTTAGTACGTTTATATCAATGACTCTAAATCTCCTCCTTCTCCTATTACTTCTGGTGTTCCCAAGGCTCCATCCTTGGCCCGTTACTTTTTAACATATTTATTAATGATTTTGTAAACTCCTCTAACATCTTGAAATTTATACTATTTGCTGATGACCCTAATCTGTTATTATCTAATTCTAATATTAATCTACTGGTCACAACTTTTAACAATGAATTATTTAATAAATACAACTGGGTTCATGCAAATAATTTATGAATCAACATTGCTAAAACTCATTTTATTTTATTTGGACCGAAAATTCGTACGAATATCGTGAATGTTCAACTATCATTAAATAACATTTCCATTAATAGGGCTCAATCTACTAGATTTTTAGGCATCATTTTTACTAGCAATTTGTCATGGTCTGATCATGTTCAATTTGCTTCTCAAAAAATTACAAAAAATTTAGGCTTAATATATCGAATCAGATCTAAGTTTCTTAAACATATTTTATTTACATTGTATAATTCGCTTGTTTTGTCTTATTTCACTTATTGTATATTTATCTGGGGCTTTGGTACAAAATCTAATAATCGTATTTTAACTCTTTGTCAAAATTAATTCATCCGTATGTTGTATGGTATAGCTAAGTTTGATCATGTAAGTAATTTTTTGGCATTATCTAAAATTCTAAATGTTAGTCAATTACATATACTGTTCACCTTAACGTTTTTTTTAATAAATTATTCATATTAAATTACAGTCCATCATTACGTCATCAGTTTAATCAATTTAAATCATCGTTCAATCGTTTTACGAAACAATCCTGACTTTTACTTTCTTAAAAAAGCCAAGCACAAATTTTATCATTAATTCAGTTTTCAATGTTTCGTGTCGCCTTTGGGACTTGTTACAAATCCATGTAAAAAACTCGACTACGCTTGGTTCATTCAAGCAGTCTGTTTTAAAATTGAATTTCACGAAGCATTTTTCATCATTCATCAATTATTGATTTTTTTCCTATTTACATTATTATTTACATTTTATTACATTGTAATTAGTACTTTACTGATTGATAGTTTATGTTTAATTCAAATTTTCGTTTATATTTGTTCAAATTTGTGGCTCAAATTTCTGTTTTGATGGCCCTACAAGTGGTAACTTCGGGTCTCCAAGTTATGTATTTTCATTGCTGTATAAAAACAGTTTATTTGAATGTATATATATATATATATATATATATATATATATATATATATATATATATATATATATATATCTTTAATAATTTTTACTTCAGCATTTCTTAGAGGCATCAACAACAAACGTACCATGTACACGTGGATCAACGCATCAGACACTTTTGCATATCATAGGCGGGTTCTCTTTGCAATGGAACCTCAGCATCAATGCCTGACAACTTAACCATCACACCATCGCGCCGCCCAATTATTTATTTATTTTTATTTATATATTTAATATACTTTTTCATCACTATAATTTTGCTAAATTTAAAAACAGGCTTGGGTAAAAATACTTGCTGTTTTTTAAGCATAATCACATAACTCAAAGCAATCTTTTCAACATTATGATTGCCACAGAGTCATTAATATGAATTGAAGATCTACAAATTTTAGCTTAAAGCATAAAAAATAAATCCTACTTACTTTCATTTGATAGTCCGAAGTTCCAAGTTGAGATTTATATTTTAAATTTTCATTCATCAATTTATCCACTTGATTTTTCACTAAGACTGAATCATGTTGTTTTTCATTTTTTAACACAGTTTCCAAGTCCTTAAAAATATTCATATTGCAAATAAAACAACAATTGTTATGATGATATATTTGGGTTTATTAACCACTTCACACAATAACCATCCACGAACAACAAGGGAATTGCACATGCAACTTAGTCCCCAGAACTAAATTTAAGAAAAATTCAGCAAAATGCACGGTTTTTTGAGTTACAGATCTACAAAAGTGTTAGAAAGTAATTTCATTTTGCAGATGTTTAAATTCAATTTTTTTAAAATTGTTTTTATTTGAACCAGATTCCCTCAATTAAAAAACATGTTTCTTTTCTTAATTTCATATATTTATAGTGATATAAAATTAAAAAGATAAATGAATTTGTCGAAGATTTCACAACTTGAGCATAAATTTAAAAACTAATAAAAGGGTCTTGAAAATTTTTTTTGTTTCAAGTTATCGTCGGTGCTAATGGTTTTTTTTACAAATGTCTAGCTATAGGTATTTTTACCAAAGCCAATTACTCAATCATTCGCCATTCATTTAATTTCCAATGTAAAATATTGAAATTACACAAACCTGCATAACTTTATAACGATTCACTGCAATATAAGGAAAATGTTAAATTTTTTAAAGTTCGTGCAACGTCGTCATGTTTTGGACATAATCGACCCATGGAATTAAATTAAAACATGCAAGTCGAAATAAATTTGCCCAGATTTAATTGATTAAGCTGGTCAAAAAAGGTGCAACCAGGCTGATATATGTTTTAAGTATATTTGTTGAAATTACATACTGTTGACATAAAGGCAGAGAGAATTACTTATTAATGAAGGCAGAGAGAATTACTTATTTAATATAGTCGCAAATACTTGGAACTCATTACCAAATGAACTTGTTGAGGCACAATCAATGAAGAAATTTAAACCAGGCATTGATTGTTGGATAACAACAATCAATCAACGAATCAGCTGTTCTAGCATGCCTGACAGCATGCTCTCTGGATAACTTCCAGAACAGCATTGCTGCTGTTAGTACTACTATTACTACATACTGTTGGCGGTTCTCTAAAAGCAAATTTAGCACGATTTGTATATTTTCTTCAGAAACCGTGGAACATTTTGAAAACAACTTGAAAAAATTAAATCTGCATTCGAAATAATTTGATTTGATTTTTTGTATCCGTTCTAAATCTTACTCGTTCAATTTATTGATGAAAGTTCATAAATTGATCAGCCGTTAACTTACTCATTCACACACCAAAAAATTTTCTTAAAGTTTGCTTAAAGTTTTGACCTAACCAACAATGCACATTTCTATTTACCACGATAAGTTGACAACAAATTATTTCTATAAACTCATTCTTTGTTAGCAAATATGCTTGATAAGGTATGTTTGCATTCATTGTCAAACTATGGAAAAACTTGATCACGCCTAGTGGCTACCATGTGAACGGGCAATTTTTTAATTCGTCGTGTGCAAACTTCGAGTCATTGACAAATTGATTTAACTAAAATCGTTGTCCTAGTAAATTTCACTTTGATAAACGTTACGGTCTTGATGACCTTAAAGATCCAGATGCTATCAAGCAAATGTGTTGACTATTTGATATGGTTAACTAGCTGAATATATTTAAAAAATTTCTTTAAATCGGCAGCATCAGGATCATTAATTCTTTCCACATGAACGTCAAAATCTCCAACCAAAATAAAACGAGAACTAAGCAGAAAGTATGGACAAAAGGAATAGTATGAATTTGTGACAGTTGAAAACTTTATTGCTGAAACTTAAAATGTGGTGGTTATAGGTTAAACTATTTTCTTGTATTTAAATAACAAAAATACTACCCACTATCTACTATGCCTGAATAGCAGTATTATAATTATTTAGGCTTATAAACCAAAATAATTTTTCACTTGGGTTACCCCAATGATATTTAAAGGATCGCGACATTATGAAGGTTGAGAACCGCTGTTTGCGATTTCTAATGGGTAGAAAACGAAAAATCGAAAGACGGAGCGTCACAAAAATATTGTTTAGTGAGAAGTTAAGTGAACCCAGCAAAAACTATAAATTAACACAAAAAACATTTTATACACTTTGTATAATTAATACAAATAACCTTTTTACATGCTTTCAGCTCCATCAACAAAGTACTATTTTCTTCTTTCAAATCTTCAATTTGTCTTTTATTTCTTTCCAGTTGCATTTCTAAACCGGAATTTAACTTTTTCAACTTATAATTTTCAACATCTAATTCCTTTAATTTCTTTTTTTGTTTTTCCAAATCGTTAACCTTTCAACACGATTAATAAAGCATTAACAAATTATTCATCTCTATACATATTTAATGGTTATTATTATCATTAATTTATTATTATTAATTGAGGATGGTTGTGTGTTCTTTTTTTTGACTGTATGGATAAATACATTAATGCGCGTACAAATGTTTCTGGTACCCCGATCTAGATACACGCTTATTAATAATATGATAGAAAGGAAAATGAAAATTTAACCTACACAAGTCGTTAGGTTATATATATCACACAGAATAATATAAACATAAAATCATATTGTTGTTGTTATTTATTTATTATCAGTGTTTTCATTATTATTATTGTTATTGTTACGATGTTATTGTTAAAACTATAAATTAAAACATAATTACCATCATAACGCGGTTATCAACCATAACTTTCAAATTACATTGAAGTGTTTTCAGTTTAATATTTGCATACTTTAGTTGATTCTCTGTTCCAAAATGTTTAAAAACCATCGTTAAAATTATGCTAAGCAATAATCACTGCATTCATTATCATGCATACGTTGATGAAAAAATCTTCTCATCGTCAAACAAAACAGTTGTTTAGTCTTAAAAAGTCTTATAGTTTGATCGAAAAATTCCTGTGTACATTTTTTGATCAATAGTTCAAAATAGCATTTAAAAACGTGGCGAAGGGCAATTTTATTCGCTAAGAGTGAAAATGGAAATAGTTGGTGAAAACAGTATTTATAATAGTAGGAAAACATTTTATTAAATCATAAAATATAAAAAAATAGATGAGTGATTCATAAAATAAACGAAAGAGATTATCAACTTTTTTTTGAACGGGGTGCAACATTTTTTACCGGTTTTGCGGGGCACAGTGCAAAAAAGTTGATTGGAAAACCCTGGTATAATTGTAATTTTGAAGTGTGCTTTTGAAAAAGTTTGGTAAACAATTACAAAAGTTGTTCAAAAAACCTTTTGACATGGGTGAGTGACTCTTGGAAAGGAAAACGTTTGTTTACCGCTTGTCCATTCCGAACAAGTTATGAATATGCTTTATAGCATTATATATGAATATGTTATATAGCATTATATATGAATATGTTTTATAGCATTGAGACACACATACATAAACACATATATTCTCAAAGATATACGCGCACACACACACAGAAATACATGCATTGCGCACACACGTACACAGAAATAATTAAATTAATAAACCAACTAATAAATCAAATTAAATACTACAATTAATTAACAAAAAATACCCTACAGTTAAGTGATCAGCAAACACACATACATCAAAAAGCACACTCGTTACCAATTAAAGTTTCTGTCTTAACCAAAAATTTAAGTAAAGGTATTGTGCTTTACTAAATATTTTTAAATAGATAAAGATAATTTATGTTTTTAATTTCTTGCGGAACCATTGTATCTATTCCAGACTTTTGGAACGGTTAGTTTTAGGCTTACATTAATCAATTTATTCGAACTCGGTTAGAATAAAAAACAGAATGCCTTAAAGATTTTTTGTGAATTGTGCTTCTAACAGTGGAAATATTTATAAAAAGCGAGAGTAATTTATGTAGATGACTAAAAATAAAAATTAATAATATTTGCACTTAGAATGTTTAAAGAAGATTAGTAACTGGAAATTGATGAGTGTGGATGTAGGTTCAGAGGCAGGCAAATGAAACGATTTTGTATTTTTTAAACAAATTCAGACAGACGTGATTAAGTTACAATATGTAGGATATCAATCATTGTACAATGAAGCTCCAAAAGTATGCTTTTATTTAGCTTATATTTAATTTATAGAATGTGTCTACAGTTTTTCGGGGGACGGGAGGGGGTAAAATAACGTTAAAAAAGCGTGATATTCCTTATGGACAGCCCCTTAATAATTGTTATATTAACTATTATACAACTGAGCCAAAAATCATGTAATTGCATTTGGAATAGTGGTTTGAATTAAACTCTCTACTCATTTTCTCGAATTCTTAATTTATTGTTGGTAAGTCATTTGGATAGATTTTTTATGTGAAAAAATGGTAGTATCACCGGCTTATAGAAAGAAACTCGCTATTTTAAAATCTTTATATCAGTTTTTTATAAAGAAAATGAAAATTAAAAGTCCCGATATAGAACCTTGTGAAACTCCAGAATTAATATCAAGTATTTGAGAGCAGTAATGCCTAATTATATATAATAGTATCTATTTTTGAGGTGGGAGAAAAATTATGATTATGTCAAACCTTTCACATCCTGAGTGTCAGAGTTGAACGAAAAATATCCGACTCCGAAATCTATCCCTCAAAAATTTCCGAATTTGACTTCTCAAAAAATGCCGACTCCAACTTTGGGTAAAGATTTCCGACTCCGACTCTTAGGAAAAATTTTCAACTTTTGCATAAAAATTTCACCATATTAAATAAAAAATCCATTGAAAAACATTTAAAATAGTCAATGTAATCGTTTTTCTTAATAAAATAAAATTATTTTTATGTTTTAAAACATACTAAAAAAATTACGTGATTTGATTGACTAGCATTTATTTTCAATATTAAAAATGACTGCATACTGCTACATATATTTATTTTCCAAAAAACACGATTTTTAAAAAAGTTTTGGAAAAAAATAAAATTTTGTTTAAATTAATAACATTTAAAAGTTGGATGAAAAAATCCGACTCCGATTCCGGCCTCTCAAAAAATTTCGACTCCAACTCCTCAAAAATCTCCGACTTCGGCAAAATCTTACACTCCAACCCACCCCGGCACTCTGCTCACACCATGCAAGTGCAAGTAAATTTCGGTAAGTACAATGTCAAAACCTTTTAAAAAGTTAATAAAGATACCGATCATTAATATACCATCATTTAAGTTTTTCATAATCATTTGAGTTAATGGCATATAGCAGGCTCAATCGAGAGATTTGGTCTGAAACCAAATCGACTGTCACTAAGAATTTTTTGGCATTCAGAAACAAATGAGGTTACGAAATATTAATTTTTCTAAAATTTATGATAAAAATGTTAGAAGTGATATGAGTCTGTAATTATTAATATCCTGTCCGTTGCCTTACATAGAGATGTATGTTGTTTACGTTTAGCGTGATGGTAGCACGTTTTCTCAGTGATTTGTCTTTTGTTTCTCGTTTTTTGCTTCTGAACAAGTGAGTTCTCTTTTTTTTACTATAATTATTTTTTTCTATATCTTGTAAATATTATTATGTATTATTATTACTCTAGAGACATTCTCTTAAGCCTTTCTAACACTCCTTTGTCTCCGACGAGAGTAGTTCGGCAGCGAATCTTTTACTTTAATCTTAGGGCTAATAATAATAAGTGTAATAAATCTTACTCTAATAATACGACTAACATAAAAATAAATATAGTTAGTAGCAATAATTATACTAATAGCAAGCAACATAAATTTAATAAACTCTACTCCAATGTAATGTATTTAAATACTAATGATAAGAATAATAATTCTATAAATTTAAATAAGATAGATTTAAAAGTAACAATATTTAACCGATTTCTACATTTTCACTATTTAATATTAACATAAGGTCTATTAATAAGAAAATCATTTTATATTCAGCAAATAATCTCTTCCTCCTTACCTGATTTTTTTGTTTTACTGAAACATGGAACGAGGACTCTAACTCTCCCTCTCTTATTCTTGCTATTCCCGATGGTTAGGGCTTTCTTGAACTCTCTAGACCTCCAACAAATCCTCTCTCTTCTTCTCATTCTTCTGTCTATTCTATAAATCTCTATTTATTGCTTCCATCAATACTTTTTTTAATTTTTCTACTTTTGAATGTCTTGTTGTATCTTTCAAGTTTTCTTCTCTATCTTTTTATGTCAGTGTAATCTATCGACCTCCTTCTTTTTATCTCTATATTTTTAGATGAATTTTTCTCGCTCGCTGAATCTCTTTATCCTTTTCTATTCCTTTTTATATCTCTGATGACTTCAACTTACACTTCAATAATCTATCTTGTTCTTATACTCGTAGATTTAATATTTTGTATCTTTTTAACTTGACTCATTATTGTTCTTTTTCTACTCATACTTCAGGTAAAACAGTTGATTTTATTATGGCTTCACCTTTTTCTAAGCCTATTAATATCTCTGCTAGTTCTATTCCTTATTCTGATCACCTCCTTATAGAATCTGTATTTTCTTTAGATTTTCTTCCTCCTGACTCATCTATGTCTATTTCTAAAAGATGCTGGTCTTCTCTCAATAAAGATATTTTCTTCAATCTCTTACTGAAATACTTTTGATACTTCCTTATTTTCTGATGTTGATAATTATGTCTATGCTTTTAATATCTACATAACTTCTATTCTCGATAAGCTTATTCCTTCTTAATCTTTTACTTATAGGCTCTATTCTCGTGAGGCTCACTGGTTCGACCGTGCCGTGTATAAGCTAAGAAAAGTGTTAGAATACTGAAGAAAGCCTATAGATTAAACCAATCTAACTCACTTTACTCTAATTATGAATCTGAATTATTTAATTATAATATCTATTATTCACTAAACATTCCACTTTTCTTAGAAATTCTATAATATCTGTTCAACATCTAAAAATAGGTGGTCTATCTAATTTTCTCCATAAGAAATCCCCTCACTTATCCTTTTCTGCTTAACAGTTTCATGACTTTTTTGTAGATAAAATTAATTTTTAAGAACATCTAATTCTCATTCTTCTTCTCATAACTTTACTAAACTTACTACTGAATCTTTTTCGGTATTTAATCCTATAAATCTTCTAGAACTTACTAAAATTATTAATTCTATGTCTTCTACAACTTGTTCTCTAAATCTACTTCCTTCTAATTTAATTAAAGAATTTTCTTCAATATTTTATCCTATCATTCTCAAATTAGTTAATTAATCTCTTTCCACTTCTAAATTTCCTACTTCTTATAAGAATTCTATTGTTATTCATATTCTTAAAAACTCATCTTTATATCCTTCTTCTTTATCTGATTATAGACATGTTACTAATATTTCTTTCATTTCTAAAATGATAGAAAAAGAAGTTTATAATCAAATATCATTTTATTTAAACTCCTTGCTACCCTGTATATCAAACTGGTTTTAGACCTGCTCACAGTACTGAAACTTCTTTACTCAAAATACATAACGACATCCTTCCCTCTAGTGACAATAGTAATCTTACTTTCTTCTTGCTCTTGACTTTTTCTCTGCCTTTGATACTGTTGATCATACTATTCTCTTGAGGCTGCTGGATGATTCTTTTAATATTACTGATTCTTGTCTATCTTGGTTTTCTTCCTATCTCTGTAATTGTTTTTCTTCTGTTGTTCTTAATAATTCTACTTCTAACTTTTCTACCTTTACTTTGGGGTACCTCAGGGTTCTATCCTTGGCCCTCATCTATTTACACTCTATACATCGTATTATTAATAATTTTTCTTTCACTACAACTATATGCTGATGATTCTTATATTTATACTTTTTTT